TTATTAAAATTGAATTATATAAACTTAAAATTAAGTAAAAAACAAAGGTAATATTCAAAACTTGTCATTTTATAATATTTCACTATATTTTATTATTTTCTATGCTCTTAAGGTTATTTACATCTATTCTATCTGTACTGTGGAAATACTGCATAATGGTATGCTACTCTTTCATCACTTCCTAACTCTGTGTTCAGTGACATCATGCCAGTACCTCCAAAACCATCCATGGTGAGTTTTACATCACAGAAACTGGCAAATGCTACCAGAGTCTGATCTATTGTTTTGTTGACTGTCTATATTTAAAAAGTGATGAAAAAATATTAATAATGCAAATTAAATTTAGAATGTACTATGTCTAAAGCTATTATGAACAATATTTAAAACTTGAGGAAATATTCTTCCAGTATTGGAAAGCTACTATCTGATTCAACAAAGAAACTTGCGTCATTGACTAGTGAAGTTCCAACATGTCTTCAATATTTTACTTTCATATTATTAACGTAAATGAAAATATCAACCAACATTCATCTTGGAATACTTGTTCAGCAACTGCAACCATTAGTTTGCTATAGATACATGTTTTGCAAAAATCAATTAAAGCACTCCGCAAGAACAAATTGGCTATATGGAATTATCATGAGTATAATGTGTACATTTTCTTATATGTGAATTGTGTTATGCATCATTTATAACAGTAAATTTTGTAATGAATTTATATGGGTATACACACACACACACACACACACACCTACACACACCTTTTCTCCCTTGACAGCAAGTTGCTAAACATTTATTATAATACCACTGCTAACAGGCAATTCAGACCTAACATGTCCAAAACTGAGCTCTTGATTTTCCATCCCAAACCTGTTACCCCTGTAGGTATCTATTTCAATTAATGGCAACTTTGCTCCTCCAGTTGCTCGGGCCAAAAAACTTAGCCATCCATGATTTTTCTCTTTCTCTCATACACTACATCCAACCTACCAAGAAATCCTTTTGCCTCTACTTGCAAAATATATTCAGAATCTGACTACTTCCCATCATGTCATCCCATGCTACTCTTCCCCTGGGTCACTCCACTTCATCCACAGTAACCTCTTTGCTGTTCTCCAAACATTGTATATGCTTCTGCCTCAGGGCCTTTGTACATGACCTCCATTGTCATCACTTTGGCCTAAGCCTACAATGTTCCCTCACATGGATTACTGCAATAGGCTACAGACTGGTCTCCTTACCTCAATACTGTAGTTAGTGTGATTCTGCTAAAATATAAATTATAAATGCTGTTCCCCTACTCAAAACTCTTCATTGGCTTCCCATTTTAGATTTCAAGCCAATGTCTTCACAACGGCTTGTCAGACCCAGTGGTATCTGTGCCCCATTCCATTACCTCTCTCATGTCATCCCATGCTACTCTTCCCCTGGGTCACTCCACTTCATCCACAGTAACCTCTTTGCTGTTCTCCAAACATTGTATATGCTTCTGCCTCAGG